CAGATCGAGCACGAATTGATTCAGTAAGCTGAAGCAGACAGTAATTCCACCTACGACTTAAATCGTACATCATATACCTTTTAATTTGACGGATTATAACAAAATTCTCTGGGGCCCGTCTCAAGTAAATAAATATGAACATTTTAAGAGGACCATCTACACTGCTACCGCCACAAACACTAATGCCAACACCTGCCGCATCATTAGTGTGACCAGCCTTAATATAATATACAAAAAACACCGAATTTGAGTAGAATGGTACTACAGTGCATGAAAAAGGGGTTCGAGACTCGCGACGCCGAGGCTGCTGTGTAGAGTGGTATGAGCAAAGAGGATCACGACTGATCAGCTAGATTATCAAAATCATGCCAACCCATCTAATACATGATTCCATTCCGTTCACTTGACGTCACCGTTCAAACACTGGCTACCTAGACAATTCAAGCAAACAGATCACAAAACAGCAGGTCTGCAAAAAATGAACAGATATGGTAAAATCAGATCTGATGAAGATGCTACAACCAACTAGCTAGCCCCCCACAACAGAGTGCACACCATAGAGGTGCAGGATGTCGTGGAGACGGTTAGATCAGTTTCGTTATGTTGACTGGCCAAGTCAGGAGAGACATCTATCGAGAGGCCAAGTTCTGAAGGATTGCAAAGACTGAAGAGTGCAGCTAGTAAGCCCCGAATAGGAGCAGGAATACTTTAATATGCATTGACGGTGACAGACTGTCGATGCTGACTTCAAACATTAAATGCGGTAGATTGTTGATTAAATCAGAAATAGTCAAATTTGCGTAAAGTATGCGCAATTACTTAGAAAGAAAAAACGGACCAAACAGTCTAAGACGTGTACTTATCACACCTTTTATATAGAGCACACTTCGAAGCATTCCGTAAGGTTATTGACAACGCGCTGAAAGGTCAAATTTCTCTCGCGGAATGCGTGACCGACTACGCTCTATGTCCTATTGAAAAGTACGCGTAACCATGGGCAATATCGTTCACAAAAGGCTCAGAAGAGATCAATTTCGGTAGGGCCGTCCAATCGCATAGGCAAAACAGAGTCGGGAAAGTTTTCAAGAAACACACATATACACACACACACACACACGGTGCAAGCGTTGTTCCGAGCAGAATGTAGGCAAGTGGGAAAAGGAAGACAATTGTGTGCAGAAAGATGGTTGGGGCTGAAAATGGTAAATTACCTTAACACGACAATCGTCACCAGCGGAGATAACCCAGTTGCCGTCGGGCGAAAAGCGCACCATATTAACACAACCGGTGTGTCCACGGAAGGTGTTAATACAACCCTTTCTCGAGACGTCCCAGAGCTGAAAGGCAAAATATGCAAAACATTGTTTAAATGAAAAAAATACCTCTATACAACGATAAAGGCGCTATCAGGCGAGGAAAATGAGCTCAC